AAGTTTTGCAGTATTGAGAAGATGTGTGTGACAGTCAGTGCTAGTTAATTTTGTTAGTAGGATGAAGGATTAGGAATATTTCTAGACTTCTTTGTATCTTTAAAAGCTGAAGAAGAGAAATACTGCTTATTGATTAGGTAGTTCTTGTGTCCTGAATTCACTTCTCTCCCTCTCACCTTCTGGATGATGGCAATGTAGACAAATCTAGGAACTTCATTCTTCAAAGACTTGGCTTCCCCAAGACTTTATTTTCCTTGGCATAAGGAGCTTTCAAGTGAGAAGCAGAATTACTTCTGCAGTGTACTGGAAATCATGACAGGCTGCTTGTGGTATTCTTGGCTGTCTCTGCTGATAAAATGTATATTTTAAAAACATTTTTCTTTGAAGCTACCCAAGGTGCTTCGCGTATTTAGGCAAGACGCCTGTGTAAGCAGGCTAGCTGTCAAATGTGGCAAGTAATTGCATCAGTACTTCCTTGCCAGTGATAAACAGTGGGAAGTACTAATGATGAGGAGGTAGGAATGGAAGGCCTCTTCCCTGGGCAAAACAAATCATCGACTAGGTGAAAATTTTGAATTATTTGTCCACACACAGAGTCACAAGACCAAGTATTATTGACTGTCTTGTGGATTGTCAAACCTGATATGCAGTTGAGGGCATTCCCTATTTGGTCATGTGGAAAGGTAATCTTTAATGGATGTAGTAGATGGCTGAAGCGATGCTTAAGGTTATGGATATTGTGTCCATTAAAAGGCTTTGGAAACAAATCTAAAACGTCCAGAATTCTAGTTTTACCTGCTGTAATAATAATCTTTTATAAGGAAAGGGGGAGAAAGCTAACTCTGGAAAATGGCTTCAAATTGCTTTAAGTAAAGCAATTTTCTTAAAAAAAAACCCTTATTTTCTAAGGGCTGAAAATAAGACTTAAAAATTTAAAAACCTGCAGGTTTTTTTCAGAGCTTTTTTGAACCTTGTCAAAATGCTTATTTCTAATGACTCTGCTGTATCACTGTTTTTAATATTAAATGTTGGAAGTTTGAACTTTTTAGTATTGCAGGCAGGATTAGTCTGGTGGAAGATACGATGTCATATTTTCTAGTTCATGAGATTGAGACCTGTTTTCTTCAGCATAAAATTCTCATGAGCAGAACATCATTTGCCCAAGCTTATTTTTGAGTACTTGTAATGTCAGACCGAGTTTGACCAGTAGAGGGCAATAGGTAAGTGCCTGCACACGCACTGTGCTGGGGAACTCCTGCTGGGACCGGTAGGTCGGTGGTTTGTGGTTAGGATTTTTGTTTTGTGTTTTCAGGGGTGATGATCAGAACAGACTTCTGGACCCAGCTGTCCACAGGAAACACTCCAGCATTGCTTAATTGCAGCTCTTGGACTTCTCTCCATCCTTCTTTTGGCTTCCCCATCTTGTTTCCCCTTCAGTATAGGTGACATTGCAAATCCTCAGAGATTTAACTATCCAGAGGATTTTTAAGGATTTCTTGAACAGTAAGGAGTTAAAACAAATCCTAGACAAAGATACTTACAATCTCTAACACAGATATGGTTTGACAGACTTCCTTCAGCCTTCTCTTGTCTATAGAACTGCTGATCTTCAGCTTGAAATATACTTCTACTCAGGATAGCGTATGGATAGAAACAACCAGCTGTAACAGTCTTGCAACTGTTAGTGACGTCTATGAACTGCTATCTGAATGGCACATTTTAGTCCTTACGATTTTATCTCTTGCTAATCTTACATACTGTATTGTCTGACGGCTCTCAACATTTCTTTTTTAGTCTGAAACTCAGAATAGCGGTGCTGCAGCTGGCCAGGAGCGTACGCCAGCTGTGTCCAGCACCACCACCTCGATGAGTCCTCGGCAGCGCCGTGCGCAGCAGCAGAGCCAGAGACGGGCCCCAACTTCAACCGACTTTAACCGGGCACAGCAGCCGAGAGTCAACACCAACCACACGGGGTCGACTGTGCTCATTGTCCTGCTGACCTTTGCCCTGGCAGCTCTCATATTTCGTAGAATATGTTTGGCTAACGAGTATGTATTTGAGTTATAAGGCTGTTTGTCCTAACAGCAGTGACTTGACTGCTTCAGTGAACATTCTGTATTGGCTATGACATGAGAACTGTTTACAAAGGTTACTTTTTGTATTTACGCTTAAATCCTTATGAATGTTAATTTACCTACAGATACATTACTTGTAAGAAAACTGAAGCTGGACATGTAAGGTGTGAGTTTTAATTGAGTGCCCACTAGATACTTGGAGAAACAGTGCAGTGGAATATTAGGAATTAAGGCATTTGGGATGGGACTAAATTTGGGTAATTTATAAACTAGAAAAAGATGATTTTTAAAAAATGGTTGATTAAATTTTTTTATGGGGCATAAATGCCCATATAAGTACCCCATCTAAGTTAGTATAAGATTTGACATTGGAAAATGAAATACTACTATGTGTTTGTGTCTGGTGAACTCTTTAATTTAGAAGGAGTACAATTTTGTAACCACTTTTATTTGCTATGACACATTTCCAGAGGTGAAACACATACAAACTGGTTGTGATGCTGCTTTGTGTGTGTGGAAGGGGGAAAGGATTGTGTGAGGAAAGTAGGTGCCAGAAAACTATTTGCATTATTTTGATTTTTATTTTTTGGAAGAAAGATTGAATAATCTTTTGAAAGATATGAATGTCCTCTCCTAGTACTTTCAATTGTATATCTTGTTTTTAAAATTTGAAGATTATGCAAAACATGTCTATTCTTGCAATAGTTATAAATATGTAATATAATTATTTACCCAGAGCTGTTGTCTTTTAATTATACCAGAAATATACATAATGTGTTGAACTGAATGTTTCATATGTGGTTTTATTTACTAAAGAAAATTTAAACCTTATTATACATAAATTCTCATATATATGAACATGCTTAAGAGAAGTATTTATTACAGTCCTGCTAGTAATAAAGTTTCAAGCCAGTCTTTGGATATGTTTCAAGTATCAGATGGCAGTTTGTTTCTTGTTTGTCTGAGCATTTTTCTGGTTGGTAATGTTTTTGTTATGGAGTTTCTTTTGGTTGGTTGATTTTCTTCTTTGTTTTTTTTTTGGGGGGGGGTTTCAAGGTGTTCTTTTTTCTTCTTTTTTGTTTTTAACCTAAAATTAATATTTTGGACCCAGTGATCTACTTAATATAAGTCCCTGGTAATATTTATTAATACTATGAAAAGGCATATACAAGCAGTAGACCTACAATTGCCAGGGTTTTGAGAAGTTTCCTCTTTGTTTAAATCCTGAAGTAGAAGAAAGTGGGATAATATTCCCCTTGTATTGTTGTTCAAATTATTGTTCAGCATGTTTATTTCAAAGACAAGAAATTTTAGCTACCTTTCATTTTGTTGCTGTCAAACATAATAGCACTGACTTAAGTGAGATTCTCATCCTGTTTTTCAGCAAGTATTTATGAAGCTGCCTAGAGCTTTCCTAAATTTTGTCAGCTATAGTATACGTTACTGTTTTGCAACATTAAAGTAGCTATCACAACTTATAAAATAAGGAAAACCTTTTTTGTGTATAAGGGAGATGTGTAAATTTAGAAAAAACCCTAAATCTGAGTCTTCTAGCATTTCTCTGTATTGTTGCGGATATATTCTTGTTTGCAGGTATAAGGGAAAAAAGGTGAAAAAACTTTTGTAAGAAATTCAGACAAAAGTAGTATGTATTTGTTCAGTAGTTAGATTTTCTGCTGCAGACCAATTTGATGTCAATATATTAACATCTTTTTACCTAATTTGTCTATTTCATTAGAAATTAAATAAAAACAAGCAAAAACCAATACACAAAAAACCCACACCAAAACCCTAAAAAGCCTGTTCAGATCTTGTAGCCTCTAAAATAGAAGCACTGTTTCCTCGTTGGTTTGGTGCTTGAATCTCTGTACATTCAAGTCCTGCAAACGTGGGCTCACAGAGGAGAGTTCTGGAAGAGGACTGACCCACAAGACTGTTCTGCTGGGTTTTGAGTCGCTTGCTCCTCTGGAGTCATTGCTCTGAATGTGGTTTTCTTGTCCTGCAGAATCCCTGCTGTGCCAAGCAGACTTCTGCCCCCGTACGAGTAGCACACACCGGCTGTTGTTAGCACAGCCCGGTGTTGCACGGGGAGGCCAAATCAGCATTGCCCTGTGACTGGGCTCTGAGGAAATGCGCCTTGAATGGGTTTTGGAGACAGCCTCTTTGTTGTGATTGAAGAAATAGCTGCTTTTATTTTTAGTTTTGATCTTTGATAAAAAGTTAAAATGCCTGATTATGCAAATTCCTTTTGGGAAAAAAAAAATTATTGGTGACTTGGTTTATGTAAAGGCAATTGCATGTATAGATTGGGAGCTACTGTTTTAATTTTCCTTTTAAGTTAGCAGTAAATAAAATCAGCTTTTTAAGAGGAAGTAGCTCATATTCTGTCTTCAACAACATGAAGAGCCAGACAGAAAATAAAACCTCAGCTGCCCTAAATCTGTTAAAATACATACATTTTACAATGAGATACATGTCTGAAACGCGGCACAGGCAGTTACCAGTTGAAAAAGATGCCGTACAGAGGATCAAAAAATGTAGAAAGCCTAATGAAAAGGGACAGCCTGGTTTTACAGTCTGGCAGGAGGATAGCACTGAGATTAGGGGATTGAGCAAAAAGCCGGCGTGCAGAATTGCGGGATTTTATATAATGGCTTTAGTAAGTATCCTTTAGGACCCAGTGGAAATGTTCAGTGAGGCAAACTTGGTGAGTAATGGCCAATCATTAAGTCGTGATGAGGGAAAAGCTCTGAACGCGAAGCCCCTGAGAGCTTGTCGAATGCATCACGCCGGGAACGCAGCATTTCTGCTGCTGATCGCTGACCAACGCCACATGCCAGTAGAGTTGATTCAATGTTTAAGCCCAGGGGGACTTGTACTGCACGAGGTCACTGGAGTGCAGAGTGCCCAGCTCCCATTTCCAGCAAGATGCCTTACTTTGCAAAACTCCTTTTATTAATCTTCTGCTTAGTTCTTCTTGTGGAAAGCAGAAAGCACAGGAGGAGGAGGTGGACGAGCCATCTGGATGTGCAGAGGGCAAGGTAAGGGTTACTAAACCATGTATGTATCTTTTCCTGCAGTGTTACAAATACATTACTGCAGGGATATAAAAACACACTCCGTCAATGTTTTTGTGTATATTGTGTGTGCAAACAGCTTTACAGATAATGTTTTTACAACAGCCTCTGGTAGTATAATCAGTTTTACGTGTAAGTGGACACTTCTGTTGCTAACCTTGACTAACTGTGACTGAGGCAGGTTTTGCAGAGAAGTTGACTACTTCAGCATGGATTATGGTAAAGTTATTCTTAGCCATACATGCAAATTTCTGAGGGTATTCAGAGGAGTTTCAGTTAACAGAGATGTTTAAATGTGCATACTGCTTAATGTTTCAGCACTGTTTTGGGGCAGGTTATTCACCTGCTTGCTGGAATGTCTGTGTTACTTACGTTCACTTGGAATTTCCCATTATGGTCTGACAATTTGAGATGGGGATGTTGGTTAGCACACAGTGTGGTAATAGATAACAAACCCTGGAATTTAGCCAGGGATTGTAAAACTTATTTTTTTTTAAGAAATACATGGAAGCTTTAAAAAATGTATTTTAAAGTTAAGTGAAAGCACAAGAATGAGTTAAAGGTCTTAGTAAAGTTTATTAGATTTACTGCTGCTGAGATTTGTCTAGAGGTTTACATTAGAAAAGATAATCTTCCAAACCTGCCAGACAGTCCAAAGTATGTTATCCTTTTTTGTGGTTATGTCATCCAGTGGCAATTATATCTTTCAAGACTATTCATTGTTTGAAGGGCTCAAAAATAAAATTGGGTTAATCCATCTTATTAAATGGTTTCACTATGGCTGTAAACCCTCAAATTTTCATATATTTTTGTGGACTTCTTGGTTTATCACTCAGTATTTTTATAGGGAGTGTTGTTACTTGAATGTTTTGAAAAGAAATGTGATGTAATTGGAAGCAAAGAAAACATAATATGTTACCAGCTTTACACTACTTATTGAAAAAATACAGTGGCATATGCTTTTGGTGACGTAAATGTTAAAAAGCTGAAGCAGCCGGGGCCTGATCCTGAAATCCTAAAGTCAACTGAAGTTTTACCACTGCTGTTCACAGAATCTCAATTATTGAATGAGATCTTTCACTGAACTCCGAGTCTATATTCCAAGGAGGAGTAGTGGGGAATTGAACAGTAGCATTTCCTTACAAACCTTTCTGTGTAGTAAAGATGGTGTGCTTTGAAGTAATAAAATAGTGTAAATCCCACTTTAAATATCAATTTGCCCTGAAGTAGAGCTATTCCCTGCTTTAAAAGTTTTGTACTTTATTTGAACTTGGAGAAAAGAAATTAAAATTTCTACAGTGCTGATATTTTCATGAGTTGTAACAGAGTGGAAGTCAAAGCACTGCTAAAATTATTTTTATAAATACACTATAAAGAATAGCAATATTATATCATATTCTGTAGTGTAATAATTTAAATGAACAATTTTCCATCTAGGTAGGATCTGAGGAACTATATGCCCTATATATGTATATGTATGTATGTATATATATGTGTGTGTATATATACACACACATATAATACCTATGAAATGTAGTTATTTAAAATTTTATAAAATCAGGTTTCAGGGATTACCAAATGAGAATGACATTTTAAATGCAGAGAATTCTGCAATGTTGCAACAAAAAGAAGTGTATGGAGCAGTGTTGTTAATATTTTTATTTTCATACTCAATTATATTTCAATTTTTATATTTCAGTATTCAATTATATTTATTTTAAATTTTCTATTCATTATCAATTACATATACAAAATTTAGTTGTCTCTTAAACAAGAATGAATAGTGGACTATTCTAGTATAAGGAAACTAAAACTAATTCCTAATTTGGTTTACTAATCGTGTAAGAGAAATTAAAAGAATGATCTTTTAAATAATTTCATCACATTTTCTGCTTAGTGTATCTCTTGCTGACTTACCATAAGAAACAGAGTAAATGTTACAGTAAACTTTGCTTATTCAAGAAATTTTTTTCCTATATTTGGGAATCTGCAGTTGGTAAGTTTGATATTTTGTGTCCACTTAGGTGATAAATCAGCCTGATTTAAAGATCTTTATATTGACTTGCAAGAATATATCTTGGGTTGTGCAGGTTCAGAACACCTTCAGTGCTGTAGTTTCTTACTTGGACATTGCACAGAGGTTCCCGTGGTGCAGAGGTCCCTCCCCACGGAGCTCTGGCTGCTTGGGCTGGTCCTGTGGGTTCTGGGACAGCTCTCTGCCACCATTCTGTGGAGAAGTTGTTGAGCCTGTGCCTAAGTGGGAATGGAACATGGGGAAAGTCAGATTAGGAAGCCAAATTAAGAATTGCCAGGTTAAGGGTTGCCTGTGCATCTTTAATTACTCCCAGTTGTTCATGTTAATACATTGTAACATGTTATTTTTTCTATGACCGATGCCTCGCTCAGCATGCTGAATGGATAATCCTTGCTTGATTAGAAACTGCCTTGCATTTAATTTTCTCTTACTCTGGCATCCCCCCCTCACTGATAACACATCTCTCCTCCTACAGATTGAGGTATAACATAAAGAAACAACTGCCCGTGTGCATCACTGCCCTGGCTGTTGTCCGAGTCTGCTTCATGTTATGCTCTGGAGAGCCCAGGCTCCGCGTAGGAAATTGGTGTGTGTGCTCATCGAGTAGCAGCTCCTGGCTTTATACTTTGACAGTAGTTTTTCACATTTTCCATGGTGTACAGTCCCTGCCACTTACATTAAGAAACTGTTTAAAGGATATCAGTGATACTTGTTTGTATGAAGTTGAGGGTGTTCTTGCTGATGTGCAAGATGTACAAAGGGTGCATGAAACCAAGGGCTCTAAAACTGTAACAATATTGTTGGTTAAAAAACTTTGCATTTCATTTAATTTGGAGAATTCAAGTGATTAATTAATCACGAAGTAAAACCTTTTGTTGGAGTAGCCTGGGTAACTGCTGGGCAGGGCTTGTTTGCCCCAGCCTTACCTGCACACCAGAGAATAAATTTACACAGAGGAAGAGGAGCCTGGTGCCGAAGGAAACAGTGTAAATGTGGAAGGGTGCAGGTGCGTCTGGGTGTATGTCAGATGGTCTGTGCTGCTATGTTGATTGCTGGGATTTTGCAGAGAGCTGTGCACACAGTTTGGGCTTGTGCTGCCAGAGCAGGTCAGACTTGCTGTGGGTAGTACTGGCTGTACAATGTGTGTAGCTGTGCTTGGATCTTTCTCAGAGTATCAGCCTTATCCCAAGTACCAAGCACGTGCTGCTGGCATGTCCAGCACTGAGTTTTTGAAATAGTTTTGGGTACTCTTCAGTAGCTCAGCAGTGGCTGCCTCTCAGAAATGGTAAACAAATGCTGGCAACCCAGCTAGATTATCCAGTTGGACAGAATTTCCAAAAGACAAAAAGAAACTCTGAAAATCGGTGGTTTTGTTAATATTTACTGCTCTATAAAAATTGCTGATTATGCTTCTGGTAATGTTTATTGCTCTGCATAACTGAGAACTAAGGAGACATTTACCATCTCTGTTGTGCCTGCGAATACTGTGTTTCCAGTGACCTGTGCCCACCCGACTCTGAGTCTGCCTGTTCCTCTCTCATACCAGCCATGTCAAGCCTCGTGCTTCAAAAACAGAAAAACTGCCTTTGATATAGAAGTGGTGTTGGGCTGTCCTTAACTAAAGCTTGTTGCTGCCAAGGTTTTGAGAAGTGGTCTGTCCTTTGGAGAATCTCATCAGAGATACCATTTTCAGGGCATGCTACATGCCAGCCTTAGGTTGGGACCCAGAAGCAGAAGGCAACCACCAGAACACATCAGCACAAGGCTCAGCACAAGCTGTTTTTCCAAGCAGCATTCTACCAGAGCAAGTAGTCTGGTGATCCCTGCTGAAACTGCTGCTGCTGGCAGCAACTTCCCTCTGTTGCCTTGTGGAGCTGCATTTTTTTCCTGTTTTTCAGCTGGATGCTGCAGACACATCCTCTAGCCCATGGTACCTCCCAGCCCTCACAGATCCCCTTTGCTCTATGGTGTTTGCTCAAAAAATTTGGAGTTTGTTACTGCTTCAGTGATTGAAATGTGATAGCCATTTTTACAGGTGTAAGGCTGGCCTGGAGCTCAAGTTCAGGGCACTGCTGATGCTCTGGTGCAGGGTTTGATGTCTCCCGAGGCTTTTTTCCCAACACTGCAGCATCAGCCGGGGTGAAAGAGCTATGTGAAACAAAAGCAGGGAGAGAACATGTATGACAGCAGTGATTGTACACGCCCTTTGAGTTTGTGTCCATCCTTTTCCAGAGTCAGATTTAGTTTTTCTAGAAATCTGGCAGGGAAAGTCACTTTCCTTTCCTTCCTGCTCCTAGCATAAACCCACAGATGAGTAAGTGTGAAGCATGTTACATCCAGAGGCAGGGCAACAGACTACCTCTTCCTTGAGGTTCTGGAAACAACGGAGACTGGTGTGGCCACCCAACCTGAGACAGACCTATCTTGTGAAGATGCCAGGCCCTCCTGGAAAACTGAGGCTCCTAAAGCACTTGAAATGGGGGCCCTGACAGGTGTTGGAAAGAAACTTCACCAAAATCAAGGATCTTGATGTTCCCAGATTGTCAGAAATTTCTGAACCATATCTGAGCCCACATGATCCATGCATATTAAATTTAAATATACACTCATAACACAATAATAAATTTGGAATTCTTATCTAGGAGCAAGCTATTTGTTATGACAGTCATAAACTGTTCTTGTACTTTGTCTTTTTAATTTAGCTTCTACAGCTGTGTGTTGCAGCAGTCACATGCTTTGGTGGCTAGAAAAACAGGTCTTGTACCTTCCTTGGTGCTGGGTTTACACAGTGTGTGTCTTCTCCAGCTTGCTATGGCTGCTACACAAATTAAATGATGTCTTCACCTAATGCATTTTTTGGATTCTTTTTTTTCCCCTCAGAGAATATACTGAAGAGTGGTAAGATTTTTACTGATTTTTACTGTAGAAATGCTTCTCTGCATCCCAGTGTGTAATTGGAACCAAGGCCCCATGACCATGAGGTACCATCTTGTGACCAAAATCCAACCTGAGTTCTCTGGGGAAAGGTGCAGAAAGCTGCCAGACTCTGGCTGCCAACAGCTGCACCATGATCAGGATGGAGACCATGTTTTGTTTCAGGCTGACCACTTAGCCACTGCCTTGTGTCCAACAGCACAAGGACTGTTCCCAATTAGAAAAATCTTTATCTTGCTCTGGAAAAGTCTGAATGTATGCATAGACATCTGCTCTTTTTTGAGTCCTGCTGAGCTGTTATCTGTAATTTCTCATGCCATCAAGAATTAATTTTCTTTGATATATTTAGCAATAGAAAAAGCATCTATTTTGTGCAATTGAGACAATTCTGAGTAAAAGTGACTGGAAAAGAAAATATATTAAAAAAATTAGTGCAATAATAGGGAAGATTTTACAGAAGCTCAGTGAGCTGTCGCTTTCTCTCCTCTTTAAAGAGAAACAATTCTTCACAGAAGTCAGATTTATCAAATTCATGCCCCTTGAATGAAAACTAAATAGTAATAAAATTCTATATGAAAAATGTGGGAAAAAAAGACAAAGGGAGATGGGTGGATTTAAATGAATAGTGGTGACTTGCAGAGAGTGCATAAAGCTGAAAGAAACCCTGACAAATCTATGATCAGAAATGCTAAAGACCATAAGTACATCAGGGAGGATTTATGAGATACTGGTGATCAGATTGTCAGTAAAGGCACCCTGCGGGCAGCAGAGCACCCCTCAGCTCTGCCAGAGCTCTGGCAGCTGGCGTCACCTTTGCTGCAGGGAATGAAATGCTCCCTATGCCAAACAGCAGTGGGGCTGCCATGGGGTACCTGCCAGAGTGGGGCAGAAGATACAGCACAACTGATGTCAAACACTGTTATAAAGATTTTTTTTTTTTTTTTCAAACAAACTTGGTCTTGAATTGGATTAAATAGACAAAAGTAGCAATAAATTTTAAAAGCTGTGTAGACTTCCTGTCATCAAAAATGTCAATACAATAAACTTTGTAAATGGATTTAAATTGATTAAAAAGGGACTGTCAGAGCTCTTTCTGTAAAATCTGAATTGGCCATCATAATACCTGAAGGATTGGGCATGAGCTGATGATTAAATGATAGTTATTAAATGCAACCCCTGGCTCAGGATGTGCCTGAAAACCTCTTTTCTTTCTAAGACAGTGTCCGTGTCTCCAGCCAGCCCTCTGAAGCCTCTGCAGCCACAGACTGTTTTCAGCAGCTCTCCTGTGTGCTGTTTGCTGTTTGATGATTTTTAAAGAATTGATCAAAATGTAGCATTTCAGCGAGGCTGAGCCATTGATTTACAAGATAATACTGCCAGGGTTTTCCATACTAATTCCTTGTACAATGTGCAATCCAACGTTTTATTGGATTTTTAATTAGACATTTTACTGCCTTCTTTGAGAACAGAGACTTGATTGAACATTCACTGGTTCTTTGGCTTTCCCCTGATAGTTAAAGTTAAGCAGACACAGGAAGATCCTTTTTCTGGGCTTCCAGCTTTTCAGGCACAGAGGCTGTGCAGTGGACAGTGAGGTGGAGCGCTTCAGCAGCAGCCCTAATTTTGCAGCCCAACAAAGCTTCCCCCCTGCAGCAAGCAGTTAAAAGCTAAACTTTTGCCTCCAATGATTCCCATTAGTGGTTGTGCTCGGTTTTACACCCCTGCTTTTAGGTAACCATTAAAGCAGCCTCGGTGGGAGGGCACTTGCTCTGGCTGGCTCTTTCTCACAGCCGGCAGGGAAAGAAGCTCTGACATCCCAAGTGAAACAGGAGCCCAAAATAACCTGAGGGAGATCCAACTTTTCCTGTGTAGTATGTGCCCTGGGGTACAAGGGGTTATATTCCTTCAAAACATCTATTTGATACAGTTATTTTTAATTTCTTTGCTTCCTTTTTACCTCGTTATTGTAAAGAAATGGGTTATTTATGTTAGCAGCAGCTATCAACACCATTTAGGCTTCATCATTTCTTTCTTGAAATGAGATCCCCAATGGGAAACTTTCCTTTTGATTTGTGCTTTATGCTCCCTTTGGCTCATACTTATCATGCTTTATATTTGAAGGGAGCTAAGAACATCCTTTTCCAAACCCAACTTACAAGTGGAGTGATTGTTTTGTAAGTTCTGAATTCTTGACCAAGACTTTAAGCCTAAGTCTCTTTATTTTTCCTCCAAGATTTTCTGTTCTTTATTTTCAGTAATATTTCTTCCATATCAGGAAAAGGAACCTGCACCTTTTGTATAAAGTTATTTCTATTTATCATAATTATTTTTAGTAAGTTACTGGAAACAGGCTAATTGCAGCAGTACTTGCAACGTTGTCAGCTCTTATGTCCAGAGCAAAGGGATTGAGGAACCTTAATGGTCCAAGTCTTCCATTTGCACCACTGGAGAAGAGTCAGGGATGCTGATCTGGATTTTCTTCCAGAAGTGCATGCAGTTTGTTTGTCTGCTGGTTAGTTATCCTACACTTTTCTCAGAGGGTTGTTGTCATCCTTGTTCCACTGTTATCATATAATATCTCAAACAAAATGTTAGAATTTTTCCTACCTTGATGTTCAGAAAAGTGAGGGACTGAAGGCTTCTTTAGACAAAACTCCTCTCTTCCTGCTGTTGTGGGGAGGAATGGGTGGTTTTGTTGCTGCTGAAAGCCAGAAGACCCTCTGTCCACACGAACTGCTGGCACTGAATCAGTGAAGTTCATGGGGCAGTTTCCAAGTAGTGTATGACATTGCGTGACCAGCATTGAAAAGAGCTTTTTGATGACAATGTTTCCTTGGTACCTGGCCAAATCCTGGCCAGGTAACGTGGGGCAGCCAGCTGCTTCTACTGCTTTCAGCTGCGGCACTCGCTGCATCCAGCTCCGCTGGGAGATGCTGTGCACCCCACCCTGGGAGCCGAGGTGTCTGGGGCACAGGGAGCAACGTGTCCTTGGAGGGGGGCAGAGGAAGCAGGGCTGCCTGTGGGGCACAAAGGTCTGGGTTAATGCTGTGGAAAGGCAGCACTGGGTCTATGTTTTGGTGCTGGCAGTCTCCCCACAGTCCCTGGGATTGTGCCTGCAAAGCTGCTGCTCCTGTGGCTCCGAAATCGGGCTGGCAGTTGTGGCACTTGGGCACAGAGACATCGGAACAATGCTATTGCTGTCTTTTGCAGTCACATCTTTAAGAAAAATCGTGACTTGACCAAAGCCTGGAAAGGAAAGACAGACCAGCTTCTCAGAGTCGATGAACATGACTTCACCATGCGGCCGGCCTTTGGAGGTGAGAATAAAATGGTTCCCCTGATTTTGTGCTAATCTAATTAAGAATATTCTAATTATCCAATTAACAATCTAATTAAAAACCAAGCAAACAAACCTCTGTCCAGGTGTGAAGGAAAAAGACTTGGTGTGGGTTCAGAGAGGCCTCATGGTCATCCCCATTGCCCTCTGTGCATTTCCTACATTCCTTCCTGTTGCTGCAGTTGGCTCTGATTTTGGCTGGCATTCCCCAGGGCTCAGGATGGGCCCTCCCAGTAAGTATTTCACTCTCTTGAGAAGAGGAACAAGCTGCAGGTTTTAATATTCACTTGTGGTTGTGAAGTTGCAATGAGCTTTTCAGCTGACATGATTAAATTGCAAAGTAAAGAACTCATTGGGTGGATAATAGCCTGTCATTACTAGGAAAAAATGGAATACTTTTGTCCAGAAAAAAAACTTGTCTCAAACTCTCATAAGCAAATAAAAGAGTGGGAGGGGAGACCTCTTCCAACTTCACTTGTGCCTTCAGTCACACCCGGATACAGGAATGTGCTTTCCTGACCTGTCTAGACTCACTACTACAGAGATAAGAGGATACCTGAACAAAAACTGCTGAAATGCCAGTATGGCGATCCCTCTTCTGATTGCATCAATAACCAAATCCTTCCAGAGCTAAGGACAGAGTTTTCTGTAGTTTCCACTGAATGACTAATGCTGCACCCTTTGTCAGCTGGCCATCTAGGGTGAAGTGTTACCTCTCCCTGCCCAGTGGGACACACAAGTGTTGTGCCCTTTGCACCTGGTCCTAAGAACAAAACTTCTCAGACCTGCCTGTTCCTGGTGTGGCTGAAAAGATGTTTCTTGCCCCTCAGTGCAGATGTGCCAATCTGAGAGCACAGTGCTGACCCCTGCTCACAATTTATATACATATTTTCAAACTCCAGAGTTCAAAACCTGTCATCACCAGTGCTTCCTGCCCCCGCAATGTTATTTACCAGCAACTTGCAGTCCAGCCTAAATATTTGAGGTAACTTTTTTGCTAATCAGTGATAAACTTGATATGCTACTCCTAGGGTTGAAGAGTTTGCCTTAAACTGCCCTCTGGGTGGAGCATAGGCAGATCTCCCTGGGGCTGTGTGGGAACACACTGAGCCCTGGGTGCAGCTGAGGCTCAGGGATGAGGTCTGGGAGCTGGCTCTGGGGGCACTGGGCTTCTTTATAAATCATCTGTAAAAGTGTGAATTCAACAAAGTTCACATGCTTCCCTGAATCCCAGGTATGCCCTCCCCTACCATAATGTCAGAGGATGCTGTCTAAGGCTTTCTGATTTTTTTTCTTTTTTTTTTTCTTCTTTTAGCCAACCTCAATTTTTGGAGCTTGGCTGTTGACTTCTGAGTGCCTGATATAGACAAACTAAAGGTGCTGATCTCTGCAGCTGATCTGTCCTCTGGATAAAAGACCCACTGGCCTGATGGGTGGGATGATAGGGCATCTCTGGGAGGATATTTTCACTCCCTACCTTGCCCCAGCTGGAGACAGATGGGGAGCCATGGTGATTTTTTAACTTTTTTCCCCCTAACTGGATGTATTTCAGGGCATCATGCCTAATCTGGGGGAAGGGGTTTTGTTCTGTTATGCTGAGGTTTGGTGCCTAGTGGAAAAATACACTGTATTTCTGGTAACAGATCTGAATTTATCTATTCCCATCAGGGTCCTTGAAGAACACATTTGAGCACAGGTCCCACTGAACAGACACACATAATTACACAGACACTCTTCTAGTGTTAATGGAACTGCATTTCAATCTCTCTTTTGCCTTGTTTTTCCCATGCTGCCTCCCATTACAGCATCATGATTCTTCTAGAGCCAAAATTTGGAATAATGTTTATAAAACATTCAAAAAAGAAATACCCTAAGAGCCTTTGCTGAGAAGGTTCCTTTTTTTATAAAGGAAAAACATTTTTTAAGTTCTTGCTTAAAACCTCCTTAACTTGCAGAGATTCTTGGGACAAAGGTGTGGAACTACCAAAGTGGTGCTGAAATTGCATGTGATGAGGAGCAAAGCATGGAAACAGCTTTGCTGAGGCTCCAGCCTTGGGAAGCCTGACTCAGATGCACAGAGATAGCGGGTGCTACAGGTTCTTGCTCAGCTGCAGAATTGCACGGTGTGTTTTTAGCGACAGATGATAAGCCTAATGGAAAAAAACATAAAGGAAAGGGAACAAAAGTCTGGTAAGATGTGATCCTCATAGTTTTGTCTGTAATGTTATCCGTCAGGCAGTCACAGTGATTTGCTATGCACCATGAGTCCTTCCAGCTTCTTGCTGTGGCAGTGTCAGTCAAACCGATGTGGTCTGACCTGTGGAGGATAAAAAGGCTTTTGTACTGAAGAAATGGAGAAGAGGAGCCTGTGTGATTCATGTGACTCTAACTGGTTGCTGCCCTACGACCCCCTCTGCTCTAATTGAGATTCCAGCTCTATGGCATTGCATCAGGCCTGTGATGTTACCTTGCAGGTGGGAAAGGCACCTCACTTCTGCAAAATTAAAATAATACCACAAGTAAGTTGTGGGTGGCATTAAGACTTAAAGAAACCCAGTACTGTTGATGGTTCCCAAGTTTGGTGGGCCAGCCTGCAACTCCACCTTAAGCTAAAAAGGGGACAGGGTATGAGCTGTTTTATGGTGGCCACGGTGACTCTTGCTGGTCTGCAGAGGACAGTCAGCAAGCTGCCAGCCCAACACAGCTGTGACCAGTGGGCAGAGCAGGCTGGGGTTATGCAAGGTGAAATGAAAAAAACAACCAGCAATATTAGAGAAAGGTGAAGGGTTTTGCAAGAAAAAGTATCTTTGTAAAGAGCAAGTGAGCAAACAAATGTTGTATAAGTTCTGTTATTAACAGCCCAGTAAGCATGGCTGTCTTGCCTGTCCTCAGCCCATTAGAGACAGGCAATTGGGTACAGAGGCAATGACAATTTTTTTTTGCTCTGCTGATGGTCAAAGAGCCTCCATAAGCTAAAAGAGACTGCAGGGTTTTTGACCCTTAGGGAGTTATCTCCATGTCAGTGACCTTGTTCTAGCTAGCAGATGTTCAGGTATTATTTACTATTATTAATATTTAAAGATTATGTAAATGTTTTGCTGCCTTCCTTAAACACCCATTTTAAGCATTTCATTTATGACATCTCATATTTTACAGGGAGCCTGTGAATAAGCAGCTTTAGTTGATACTTAAAATAGCTGTATCTTCTTTATTGAGGACCAGCCTAATGCTTTATTTTTATTATATTTGCTCATAGCCGAGTAGCCTAACATCAGCTGGTCCTTGCTGCCCTTTCTGGCATCCTGGCAGTGCTTCTGACAGGATGGATGAAGAGTGGGAGAATAAAGCACGAGTAGTTCACTGAGTGTCAGTGACAAGGGCTGGAACAGAACTTGCTTCTCTGCTGATGAGCAACCGTCCGTGAGATGCAGAGGGATGAAGCCCTGCAGTCATGGGGCAGGTGATGAGCATGTCCTGACGCTGGCTGCCTGGGAGCTGTCCATACCTAAGAGGTCCCAGTAATTTTTAAATACATTCATTACAAAGTAAATAAACACACACACACAAATAAGCTGTTTTGCATCTTGCAGACATGGGATCTCTTACAGACATTTGCAGTCTCTCTGGGTGTGTACAAGATACCTGTCAGTAAAGAAATCTCAAACCTACTCGTTTCCCATGTCAATATTTTTATCTCAGGGCCTTCATCTGCCTCCCCCCTTCAGAGATGTATGAGTGGACACTGTCTCAGAGAGAAACAACAAGCCTTTGAAAGCACTGCCAAAGAGAAAAATTAAAGAGACGTCACAAAGTTCTACTCTCCAAGCTGGAGTGGAAAATTGACTCCAGGCATCTTCATGGTAGCACACTGTTCCCTATCTTCTAAAGCCTGATCCAGTGTTCAGAAATAAAAGCCATGTTTGTGCCCAGTTCTGACTGGGAACTGACTCACACTTTGAAGCTTTCATGCTGCTCATTAGTTAGTGTTTTTAGGTGTGGAGACACACTGGGATGTAACAGGCTTTAATGTTGGGCTCCTTCTGAAGTCATTCCTGCATGGGACTTGTGGAAACCTCCTGGGTTCCCTGCAGAGGTTAGCCCGAGGCAAGACATCCCATTCAATCTGGGGAAGTTTGATACTCAAACTGGAGTTTTTGCAATATGAAAGAAGCCACAAAGTCTTCTTTGCATCAGAACCAACCCAAAATTCCATTAATTTGGCTGATACTTTTCAGAGACTCTGAAGTGTGATCTGAAAAACTCTGCTGGACTCCAGGCTCTGAGAAAAGCAGCACTGCTTCCTTTTATCAGCTATATCCCCAGCTTTCACATGGATCCATTTAGCCTCTTCTCCAGCAGTGAACATCCTAGAGAGGAGCCCAAGCTTCGAGATCTCTCCAGTGTTAAAGTGGTCAAGTCTTTTGTTGCTTATAATTCTCCAGGACAATCCTTCTATATTTCCTCTTTCTGAGGAAAAGGTGAATATTGATAAAATAGTTTATGACAAAGAAAAACTGGTTGATGAGGGCTTTTTTGCATCTAATGCTGTAATCAAAGTTAATTGTTCTGTCTACCAGTTCAGTTTGTCATATACTGTCTGAGCTGTCCTTGTTCCTTTACATTCACACTCTCATCATACTCTGCTCCCTCTCAATACAGAGGGTTTTTTTTCTTTTTGCTCATCCCTAGTGGCATTTGATGAAGAATTTGGCAAAACACCCTGAGCCTCTGTGGTTCAACTGTTCAGTTGCCAGAGGGACAGGATTAAAAGGCTAGTAGTTCCTAATTGACTCCATGGGTTTTTGAGATCAAAGATCTCCTGACATTTCTCTCTGAGTGACCAACAGCCATTTAATTCAATGGTATGTCCTGTAGCCAACATGACCTTCAAGGAAACCCAGGGTTTGTTTCTGTGGTTTAAAGAGGTTGTCTCTAGACAGGGCTTCTGCTTTGCTTCAGAAGCTGCATGCACTTGCAGTGTTGCCTGCATCAAGTACCTCTGCAAAACTGCATCTTACTGGAAGTTTTGTAGAGTGATGGGCTGAGTGACTATGCAACTATCACTTATGTTTATTGCTGAGAGCAGGACTTGGTGACCTTTTGATTTCTGTCACTACCTCACAGGCAGCAACACTTGCAATGCCCCCACTGGCCCTTCATTCACCTCTCCCTGCTCAGTCCAGCTTCTTGTGTAAACCTCCAAAGGGTCTTGGTGTCTCAGTGTATCCTCATTCCCATTTGTGTGCTCTCCCATTGCCTCAGCCCCAGGTGCTGAATGAGGAGCAGGGAGAGGGAAAAAGCAGTGATTAATCCTGCTGACTGTAGTAGGAGTTTGCTCAAAAAAGGCAGAGTAAATATTTCTGCCGATAAATTGGCTTTACAGACTCATTTTTACATTTCTGTATTAATCACTAAACATTCAAGTCCAGTGTTCAAATAATTTCTCCCTCTCTCTATTACAATCACTTTTTTGTGATCATCTCCCAGATTTGTGATTAACTGCAGAAAAGACACCTAATCCAGCCTTGGACCTCTTCTCTCAAGGGCTTTCCAGACCATCCAGGTTAACATGCAACACCCTTTATTCTGGGTTTAATAAAGCTTCATGTCAGCTCCAGAGTGAACCTTAGATTTTGTTCTTGCAATGAGATAACTGCTGGTTATTGAGCATTGGATGCAGGAACATGAACAAAGTAAAGAACATGGACATAGTATTTTATCTTCAAGAGCAGCTAGGGAAGGAATAGTAGAGCAGGACAGATACCACTTGGCAGTGTTCTTATGTTTATGGGTTTGGTTTTTAGTTGTTTGTTGTTGTTTTTTGGTTTTTCTTGGATCTGTGATTAGTGTTCAGAGAAGCATAGAAATTGCAGCAGTAAATAGACTTTGAGCAGGTGTTGATATCCTGAACCAAAGCTAAATTAAGGATTAGTACACAGAGAGTCTCTCTTGCAGTTGTGGGGGGCTGCCCAGCATGTGTTGGGCACAGAGCCCTTGGCTTGTGCTGTTTCTCTGTTGATTGTACTGCACATCAAAATGTCTCTTGTCACCACAGATGCAGTGTTTTTTGCTACCTTGTTTAAAAAAAATCAAAAACAAACCAAAACATATTTTACTGAGCAAGAGTAATGTCATAGAAAAATTCTTTCTCTTGGCTGCAAATGATTGCTGGCAATTTTTTTAAAGTATGCAGTTCAGAGCTGTGTATCTGAATGTGACATGTAGGAATTTGTAAGCATCTGGGAGTCATCTCAAAGTGCTGGGTTAGCCAAGTTTGAGCTTCATTGCTGGGGGCAGCAGTCACTTAAACTGGAATTGGTGGTTCTGAGGAGCCTGGTCCCGCTCTGCAGGGCTTGTTCAAGGTGCCTGTTCCCAGCACAGCTGCTGACAGACACCGTGGGCATAACAGGCTGGAGCTGTGCATGTGGGAAGGGGACAGTGTCACCATCAGTGTGCTCTGCTGTAATCAGGTGAGGCTGGTTTATCAAAGCCCTGACAAACCTGCACTGGGGCTGCTCACAGCTTGTCTTGTGGGCATGAGGATCAGCCTTTCCCTACTGAGGCAGAGTTGGTGCTCCTTTCTCCTCCAGCAGAGGCAAATAGAAGGCTGTGTTCAAAAGCCCTGAGCATGTGTGGGAGCCTGTATGTGCTGCTGTAGGTACAGGAGTGGGATGGAGAGCAGCTTGCAAAAGTGTGCTACTCTCTCAGCAACATTTCTGCTCTCTGGTTAGACTTGTAGTGTATTCCAAACTTCAGTGTGGTCTCGAGGAAGATTCTACTCTAGCTAAATGTATGCATGCAGCAGGCTCTGCTGCTTGTGGTGCTGCAGATAGGGGTCTGAGTCCACAAAGGAACTGAGGTGTGTGGACATGATTTCTGAACCTGAGAGAATTTCAAGCTCTCACGAGCTGATTGTTCCCAGGAGAAAGTCTTTTGGGAACTGTTTGCTTTCAAGGATTGTTTGTGTAAATCAGGTTTTACCTTCCCAAAACAAGACACAGATATTCTAAAAGTGTTTTCTCTCTTGTCCCATCAGTGGGATGAAAGAAGTGTTGTTTCTTCTAGCTATCAGGGTAACCTGACTATATTCACAGTATTCCTTGTACCACAGGGTACCCTGGATTGGAACACCTTATATTAAGGTTGTAAAACCCCAAAATAAAAGCTTATCTGCCTCATGAAAAACCTCTCTGGATGTTGCAATTTCTCAGAACCTTCACTCTATACTTCATGTCCTCTAATGACAGAGGTGCATCTTATGTGTTGTCTGGCTGCTAACCAGGCTCAAAATCTAGGTGCTAAAAGTCTTTACAAATCTTCATGGAGGCAACTATGGTCTTTGGAAAATTAATTTCTGCTGGAGAAGTCTCAGACATGTCTGCAGAGCTTCTGCTTCCCTTGGCATGGTCTGTCTCAGTGCTTGGGCTAGAGGCACCCCTGGCTGGGGTTGTCAGCATGAACTCTGTGAGTCTCACTGCCAGACGCACTGAGAGCACCAGGCAGCACTGGATCCACCTGGACTGCTTCTCAGCAGCTCCTGCTGAGCTACCCTGCTGGCAGCTTGGTGCGCTTGTCTCAGTAGGCACTTAGCACCAGAATGTGGGAAAAGCTGCGTGAGGGCACACTGCGGGGTGTCGCCCTGAAAACTAAACCTTCTGATCTTGTTTTCATAGTTTTAGTTACTTTCCCAGGAAAGTAACTATAACATAAGGTATTTACACCTTCCTTCTAAGAAACGTCTTTTGATGGATGTTTCACATGACCAGTGTGATTGGGAAAGTGGTAACTTGATTGTTCAGTCCCTGGTATTTGTCAAAAAATCTATAAATACTGGAGTCAGAGAATAAAGTTACTTCTTTGTCCTGTCATACCACTGAGATGTGCTAGTGTGAATCATTTTGTAGCCTTTAGTGACAGTGGGGATCTTAAGTCATCTGAGCAGGTGCTGGTCATTAATGTGAATTTTTGTAAATAATGTAAAGTGACGTTTTGGTGCAGGGTTTCTAGTAATAGAGGAGTGTGCATTCATTATGGGATGTTCTCTGCTTATTTACTCTTTGTGAACTCTCTGGTTGCTAATTTTAAAACTACTGTGGAAAACTAGCAATATCATCAGTGAGTGACATGAGTCAAAATGGTGATGGGCTCTTGAGAGATTAATGTGGCTTGCCTTGTTGGTAAAAAATGAGAAACATCCAAAGAAGAGATCATTTCTTGCCATGTCTTCATCTTGGTCCCAAGTCCTTGGGGCTAAATTTGTTCATAAAGGCCTAAAATTTAAGATGGGATGGCTCAGTTTTTAAAAACATAGGCAAATGTTTCATCCAAACTCTGGATTAACTGGCAAGGGCTCAACATTTCAGGATATGCCAAGGAGAAGATAATTCAATGTTTCAAAATGGCCCTTACATGGTTATTCACTAACTCTTTCCTCAGCCACCTCCTGAAGAACCATTGACTAAAATGTACAACATAAATTCAGAAATGTTTGCATGTCACCTTAGAAGTGCAAATTAAATGCAGATGATACGAAAGAACATTTATTTACATATCTAAATCTCATTCTCTTCCAGGCCCTGCAATTCCTGTTGGGGTGGATGTGCAAGTTGAAAGCTTGGACAGTATTTCTGAGGTTGACATGGTATGTAATCCTCTTCTAAGCCTCAGTTACTTCTGATCATAAAAAGACCTTCTGACTTGAAACCTGTGGGCTTGTAATTATTGGTCAGATGAAAGTAATAGCAGCATCTCTGAAATTCAAAGAGGCTGATAATCAGAACCAAAGACTTGATAAAACCAGGTGATCAAAGCCTTACCTCTCTACCTCCAGATAAAGATTAAAAGCTTGAAGAGAAAAGGAACCTTGAATGGGAGAATAATCAGTACCGTGAAAGATCTATCAAAACTGAAAATATAAGCAGCTGCATAGGAAGGTTTGAAGCTATATGGTAAAATTCACATAAGCTGTGCTTGCTGCAGGAGTTTTCCTCCTTAGGGAACCATTCAATTCACACGAGTGCTCACACACACTTCACTGTTTGGTTTTGGGCTGTTTCATGATGATTTTTTTTTTAATTGTAAGAAATGGAATAAAAACACTTGAAAGAGAAGTGGAAACAGAAGAAGGAAAGGGGAACACAGAGGAAAAGAGGAAGCTTCTGGGCTCCTTCCTCTTTCTGCCTTTTCCTCCCTATTCTTGTTCACCTTTTGTGGTCTAGACAAAACATAAAGACAAAGGAAGAGCTTTAGGTTGAGTGGTTTTTAATATGGTGCAATTATATCTTCATCCCATTTTGGAGGGGTCGGTTTAGATGACCTTTAAAGGTCCTTTCCAAGCCAAACTATTGTATGTTCTATGATTAAAACCAGGTGGCTTTCCTGCCTGGATATTGAAAGAGAGGGTTTGGGGTATGCATGCAGTGAGGTGTGTGGGAGGGAGCTGTCAGCCAGGGGGAGAACTGAGGCTCTAATATATCAAGATAATGCCAGAGCAGCAAAGAGCCCTAATTAGTGCGAGTAAATAACTCACAGTGCTTTCTGTCAGGATTCAACAAAAATCTTGCCTGTCAAAAGCCTTTGAGGTCAGTTCTCTCCCTCGGTTGTTGATAGTTCCTATTTCCCCAGCTCATGACAAGTACCTTCTACAGCAGTTGCTGGAATATATTTGGGGTGGAAGAACATTCTCTCCAGGTCAGTCTGAGTTATGTTGGTGTGTTTTTCCAATAGACTGTCCCAGTATGGGTTTGCAGGGGAGGGACTGGGCAGTAAGCTCTCTGCATGGCCAGGGGACCAGGGCTGGCTGTGTCTGCAGCAGGGTTCCCTCCTTGTCTCCCCATTGCAGGCAGGACTTGTTTCAAACTGCTCTGAAGTGGCCCTGAAAATCACTAGGTAAGGGCAGTCCTTACCTATCACTGCTTGAGCAGGCACCTGGTGCCCCAAAGAAGGACCGGACTGAAGCATCACCAGCCACAACCCACTGTATCTGCAAAACTGTGCATGACAGTGAGAGCAGCCAGGGGCTGTTTAAAGCATGGAGGTTCAAAACTGATGCCTGTCTGGTTGACATGGAAGGGCTGCTGCTGTGTGCAGTGGCAGGACACTGTCTTGAGGCTGTCTGGAGCATGGAACAAACACAAAATATGCTGCCAAAATTGAGGTACTTGTGTAGACTCATTGGCTGTGCCTCTGGCAGGTACCATCATTTTCCCAATTTTCTTATTTGGAAACATTGTTTTCCAAGGGACTTTCCTATTTGTGAGTGCTGAAATAAACCCCTTTTCTTGCTTGTGAAGAAAGTGTGTGATGGTCAGAAAGGAACAAGCAGTCAGCATACTGCCTCTTTTGAATCATGCCATGAAAAAGCCTCCTTAGGTTGGATTTTATACTTAGAAGCTGTTGTCTGCTGCCACTTTGTGTTTGCAGCATTTGGTTCACCGTGTTGGCTGTTTGAAGAAAGAAAGGGGCTGAAGGTGAAAGATGAGAAGCTCCTGTCTGTTAGGACAGGGAAAGGGGTGGCCTGGAAAGCAGTGAGATCCTTCCTGTGCTGTGCCTTCAGACAGTCTTTTCCCCCTCCTCAATGGTGGCTGTAAGCAATGGCTGATGGTCCCCGTATCCCTGTACCCAGAGGCAATTTGCAGCCACAGCCTCAGGCTGCCTGGCTGTCCTGGTTTTGGCTGGGATAGAGCTAATTTTCTTCTTAGTAGCTGGTACAGTGCTGCTTTTGGATTTAGTATGAGAATGATACTGATAACACAGTGTTTTGTTTGTGGCTCAGCAGTGCTTACCCTGATCAAGGACTTTCAGTGTCTCGTGCTCTGCCAGTGAGGAGGGACACAAGAAGCCAGGAGGGAGCATGGCCAGGACAGCTGACCTGAACTGGCCAAAGGGATATTCCACACTACAGAACATCATGCCCAGTGTATGAACTGGGGGGAGTAGGCTGGGAAGGGCTGGGGGACAGGCTGGGCATCTGTCAGCAGCTGTATTGTTCATCACTTGTTTTTCTGACGTTTTACTCCCTCTCACTTTTCATCTTCCTTTCCATTACTCTTCTTACTACTATTTATTTCAATTATTAAACTGTTTTTATCTCAACCCAACTTCTTCTGAGTCTACTCCCTATCCCATTGGCTGGAGGTGGTGGGAGAGAAGAATGAGCAAGTGTCCGTGTTGTACTGAGCTGCTGGCTGGAGTTAAACCACGAGAATGGTCCTCCTCTCCTGGAGCCCTATGTCCCTCTATCTCATGTCATGGCCAGGCAACTGGTAACCCTGAACAGCCAGGCTCTTCTTTACTCCTTTTTCTGACTTCTACCATAACGTGCACTGACTCCTAAGAAAGCAGCAATTGTGCCTCTTTCTTAGTTTCCTTTTTCCCAGCTCTAATCAAACTGATGAGCTTGATGTCTGGCCCCTGAGGCTGACTCTTCTACTAGGTTGTAACCTAAGCTCTGCCAGCGGCAGTAGTTGCTGGAAGTGTTTCTTTGGGACTACAGGTGTAAGGAGAAGGTGGCCAGTGGCCAGTAGGGAGCAGGAGCTGGCAGCATTCCTGGGATGAGCAGTGAGGGAGGCTGGGACCAGTCTGATAATGTGGGGACCTGCAGGTTAGTGAAGAGAAGTGTCCCCCTGGCCAGTCTCTGCCATGGTCAGAGAGACAGCTGTCTTGCCAGCTCTGTACTGTGCCAGGCAGCAAGGTGAGGACTGGCACTAGAGCTTTCTTTGACAAATTAATGCAAAACCTACTGGCAATGTGAAGCTGTTCCGAGACAGCCCTTTGAAGCAGAGAGTCAGGGTAACTGATTGTCACCGTCACCAAACTGACTAGTTGTGGTTTGAGAAAATGGCTGCCACATGGTTAGAGAGAGACCTGGGCCTTTGTTGCTGCCTGCACAGGCTTGGCAGCTGCAGCTCCCATAATCACTTGCTTAATTGGGAATATAAAGAAAATAAGTGTATTTGATTGATCTCTCAGCATGAGAGTGGATTCAGCTCTAAAAGCAGCAGCTGCCAAGTTGGGATCAACAATCAGATGTTTTCCTTTATGTATTGAAGCTCCTATCCCATCAATAAGCCTAAAAGGGAACTTTATTTACACACTTACATGGTAGTATAAATCTCCCCCTCACCTGACACAGTTCCCTCGCTTGGTTGCTGTTTGCAACAATTTAGTCCTTTTGGGTATAAATTGTTTAGTGTATAGCCTGACCATTAAGCTAACTTTCAGTTTTTCCTCTTGATCATCCTATTGCTACCATAGTCCTGTAAGAAAACTTTGCCAGAACTGAAGAATCATTTCTGCAGGGCATTGCTTCTCTTGGGACAAATTTATATTCCCTTTGGGACTGAACATTACTGGGTACTGCAATAAATTCATTAGTTGGCTATGCTTTGTTTTGGCTGAAATTATTTTGTCAGGAAAATCTACTGACAGAGAGCATTGACCTAGGAAATAATCAGGAGTTGAGAGTGGAGAGATCTCATCTATCTGGTGGGAGTGAGTTTTCTTTCTGTTGTGTCCTAGCTGTAGAGTGCAGCACTGACAGACCTCTCTTCCATTTCGATTCTCTTTCCTTTTTTGCAGGATTTCACTATGACCTTGTACTTAAGGCACTACTGGAAGGATGAGCGTCTCTCATTTCCCAGCACCAACAACAAGAGCATGACCTTTGATGGCAGGCTGGTGAAGAAGATCTGGGTCCCTGATGTCTTCTTTGTGCATTCCAAGAGATCCTTCATTCATGATACCACCACGGACAACATCATGCTGCGAGTGTTCCCCGATGGGCACGTCCTCTATAGCATGAGGTAATGGAGCAGCCCTGCTTCCCCTGAGCATCCCATGGGGCTTTGGTGCCAGTTTCGATCCAGGCTTGACTTTGGTGATCACCAGGATTGCTACTGCCAATCCTGCTACTCCCGCTGCTGATGCAGAACCCTGTTTCCAGAATGTCCAGTACAAAATACTTTGCAGGAAACTCTGAGAAACCATGCTGTGGGCAGTAACAGGATAATCTCCTCCTGGGGGAAGCATGCCCCCAACTCTTTGCAGTCAGTGGAGAGCTTAGTCAAGCAGGAATGTTCATCCCAGGGTCAGTGTGTGATTAAACTGGAAGCTGCTGATATACCAGATGGTGACCTCTATAATTATCCTATTTTCCTTCTTGTTTGTCTAGAATATTTTTTTTAAGTTGCAGTGCTTTCCTATTGATGTAAATGTTTAAGTTTATTGAAGCTGCAATGGCAGTAGTAAAGACATCCTGGTTTTCTAGTAGATTTGTTGGCTGGAAGAATCCTGAGGGGTGCCTGTCATGACCTGGAGGGTTATCCATCCTGTGGGTGTACACGGATCATGACTGTGGGTTTGCAGGATTCTGTAATACACAAGGACATGGAGGCTTAATCCTCTAAACTTCTCTACCTTATTACAGATTATCAAAAATACCACAAAAATCACCACTAGCAAGTAAACTGCCACAAAATCACCACTGGCAACTGTACCCATGATTAATAAAGTATATATACTATGACTATATATCATGCTGTTGCAAATTACAGTCAGCAATCAGTAATTTAACATCCATCAATCAATCATGTGGCAACAGCCAATAACTAACCAGGGTATTTATTGTTACAGGTCACTTTACATTGGTGGAGCAACTCATCCACAATATACCCTCAGGTACACTTAGGAGAGATTGCTTGCGTGGGTACACAGTACTGGTATCAGGTGATACCACTATCAAGTGATCCAAATCATCCAACAGAGGGAAGGGCAAATGGAAACAGCCTCCAAAGTGGGCTCAGAGGGGACCAGTGAGACAGCAGAATCTCATTTCAGAGATGCTCTGAGTCATAGGGTGTGGAGTCAGCCAGGTGTCCAAGAGCTGGTAGAAAGTTCATGCGAATTCAACCTTCTAAGGAACAGAAAAGTATGTGCAGCATGAAAGGTCTCAGAGGAAGGCTTCATTTTGGATAAAAATTTATGGCCTCCTTATATCCAGAGAGATAAGAGGGTGTAGGATGCCACCACTTCAAACAGGCAATAGATGCTGGTAATTTTTATTTTTCACCTGTGACAGACAATAGATAATGATGTTTTCTGTTCTCTCAGACTTTTTTTTTATTTTCAAGATAATTTCCTACCTTTATTGACAATAAAATGCCTGTTAAAACACTTTTTTTTGGCAGTTATTGATTTTATTTCAGGATGTCTCCTGAAATGTTTCTAGGTGCCCTATCTGCATGACAGAGGCCAGCTGTGCTTCTCAAGGATTCGTCTTGTTCTCAGGCTGGCAAGCCTTTCTCTGTCCATATTTTTCATCAGACAGGTTTTTTTGCTCAGTAGTTTCCCCTTCTAACCAGGCCACCTTTATGACTGTTCACATCAGCATCCCAGCAGATTTAATTTTGTTCAGAGGAATGAAAAAAGAGAACTGGAGAAAAATACACTGCCAGAGGAGAAAAGTGCCCCCAAAAAGTGGGCATTTCCCCAGGACAGAAAACATGGTCTCAGTGTACACTGACCTTTGAATATTTTGTACCCAAGGATTTCTGTTCTAGGGTCTTTCTGGAACTTATTCACTTCAGCCATGGTAAAATTATTTTCAAAAACTTGGAAAGGTTTTCTATTAAGTTTACTTCTGTGATCTCTTGAGGAGGTGATGTTACCCACAAGAGAGAAGTCTATGAGTTAACCACAGCTGATTTCACAAGACTTAAATTGATAATTTCATATTTAAAATCCAAGGAGAAAGAAAATTTCCATGGCAGTTGGGCCTGATGGTGATTAGAACTCTCAGAATAATATCCAGCTAAAAAAGCATGGGTGTCCAGTGGTTCTGGGTATGCCCTCAGATATCTTGAGATGTTTGCATGGGATTGACGCTGGACTGGGGAATATTTCATTCCTGTTTTGGGCCTTGGGCCTTCAAAGCCACCTGGACACTGCACTCTAACTGAGGAATATCATATTGATGAGCCGAGTTTCTGTTCTGTTCTGCCTCTGACTAACTGTTATTGACCACAGGTTGTGCTACAGCTCAGGTGACGCCAAGGAAACTTAAATGACACCAAGTTATACAATGCTGAAATGCTACACATAGTTAGGGGAGGTCATTGTTTCAGGATACCTTCTGGAGCATGTTCCCAAAAACATTCTTTAAATTTCGCTCAAATAGCAAAATTTTGCTCTAGTTTATAATCAAAATGAACAACATGTGCCTTTCAGGGGTGATGAGTGCGTAGGTCAGGGTAGGATTTGGATTGCAATCCCTGGAACAGAGGAAATGTTCTTTATAGACATCTGCAATGAATCTAGAAAATGGTCACAGCCAACGTAAGTTGGCCTCTGAAACGATGAGTCACAGCTGATTTTCCCCTCCTAAATCGGGAGCTCCACTGCAAATCCATCTGCAAGAGAAAGCTCACTGACCCACTGGAAAATTTCTTATGTAACATTGTGCACAACTGGACTAGTTTAAAAACTGGAGCTGTGATTGCTGCAGCTTTTTAGCTTAGACAAAAACCTAACAGAAGCAAATCTCACTTGCTGAAAACCAGCTGCACCCATTTTACAGCCCCTGCCCAAGAAATACACCCCTCAGATTAAAAGGGTTTATTGAGAGCTGTAAGAAACTGCTTTTGCCTTAATAATATATGTACTGAAGGAATTTTGTGGCTTGCAATAAGAATAGTCATATTCCTCAGGCTTGGGTCATACTGGGGGTGACTATGGAGGGAACTGAGTAATGGGGAAAATGTATAAATCTTAATTAAACTGCACATAAGGGAATATACAAATGTAAATGGTGAAGTTACTTTACATCGTAGTCTTGTAGGTGAATAGTTGGATATAAAACATGGTGGAAATATCTGTACTGACATTAGTGTAACAGTAATGTCCCAGATAGTACTTCAGTTCCTTGATAGATATTAAAATTACATTTTTCTTTGGAGTTTCTGTGTAAAATCCATCTAGCTTGAATGTGGAGAAATGGTAAGTATTTTCCTGTGGATTTTTTCCTAACATCATGCAATATTTCTGGCTTAAAAGCTGCAGAATAATTATCTGTGATAACATTCTCTCTTGATGGCTTCTCATAGAAACCAGCTTTTCTGATTTTCGAATTCTAGGGTCACAGTGACAGCAATGTGCAACATGGACTTCAGCCACTTCCCCCTGGACTCTCAGACGTGTTCTCTGGAACTGGAAAGCTGTACGTTGTATCCGTGTTTCTAGCTAGATGTGCTCCATGGCTGGCTGCGCAAACATTGCACTGGACAGGTCTCAGAATACTGTCTTTGTTAGAGCCTGAAAAAATAGTTCATCAGAGTTACTAGGAGTCCTATGACTCAGCAGTATTGTGCATCTAGTCCTTGTGCTGCAAGACCAGAATTTGCAAGGAAAACATCCTATTACACAATCCTGATCCTGCAAACACTGTGATCTGGGCTCAGCTTCTTTGGTGGAGAAAGTAATGTGAGCAGTAGGATTTTTTTTGTAGACTTTCTCCAGTGTATGGCAAGAGTAACATCTGTTTTTTTTGAGGTCCTCTCAGCTATTTAACTGAATGTTCCCCTGCAAAAAACAGAATCAGAATCAGATGATACTTTTCATTGACCTTGAGGTCAGCTTCTCCAATAGCCTGCTAAGAGCAGGGAGTTCATGATGGGTTGCTTGGGGCTTTTGAGCAAGGTAATTCAGGTACCACAACTTTTCTCTGCAACATGCTCAAATATTTGACAGCCCTGATCCTGAAAATGTTTCCTTTTGCCTGCTTGGGAACAATCCTTTGCTGAGGCTTACATCCCTTGTGTCTTCTCCTTTCATTCTCCATTTTGTCAAAGCATCTGGGAAAAGGCTGCTGCCACCTTCCCCATGAGCAGGGCAGCAGCTGGACCCCACCCCACAGACTGCTCTTCTCCCAGCTGAACAAGCCCTGTTCCCCCAGCCTCTTCTCCCTATGGCATGTGCTCCTGTCACTGATGATCTTGATAACCCTCTTCTCTTCCCCATTCCTGTTACTTAGTGCACAGGTTCTGCCATTTTTCCCTTACACTTTTAACATATTTCTGGGCTTTTGTTTCTCACCTGTCTCTTTTGCTTTAATCATTCTAAGATAGTTTGAAGTGTCCATGCTTAATCCTTCCTCTAAATTAAGGTATTTTAGCCATGATTATTTCCTGAGCTATTATCTATTTTTGTCTGTGATGTTCAGAAGAGTGCCATTCTGTCGTTTCAATGTGAAGTAAAATGAGGATTTGTTATCTTGAATCTGGATTTTTGTTGTTATCACAGTATATTATATGATAAGATCTTTTGAACTACCTTGCTGTTGGCAAACTTACTTGTGGCATTAGTTCATGCCAAAGATTGGATGTATTAACTCTTGTTGAACCTCTAAGCTAAAGTCACATCACATTGTATTTCTTCTTTCCCTTAGATGCTTACACTGATGAAGATCTGATGCTGTATTGGAAAAATGGGAATGAATCTCTTAAAACTGATGAAAAAATTTCTTTGTCTCAGTTTTTGATACAAAAATTCCACACAACTTCAAGACTGGCTTTCTACAGTAGCACAGGTATTGCCTTTTCTGATGACATAATGCTAAACCTAATACCGTATTAACTGCTTTTGAGGGGGCTCGTAGTATTATGTCACCAAAGTGCAGTTTCCACAGTCTGTTTAAAAGCTCAGTTTCTTGTTTTACTAGTCTTAGAAATAAAAGAACCAAAGAAAGGTCTTGTCTTTCTGTACCTGCTGTCCAGGCTGTTCTCACTGATTCTGGCTTTCCTCCTCTCTCAAAGGTTGGTACAATCGACTCTATATAAATTTCACTTTACGCCGACACATCTTTTTCTTCTTGCTCCAAACCTACTTCCCTGCCACTCTCATGGTCATGTTATCCTGGGTGTCCTTCTGGATTGACCGACGAGCAGTTCCTGCCAGAGTCTCTTTGGGTGAGAACAACTGCAACAAGCCATGGCTACGTGAAAAGCTTTGAATGTGAAGGTTTTGGCAGGAGAGGGAACTGTTCATTTTGATGGTTAAAGATATTTTGCAAGCAAATGGTGGTTTTATCTGATGATTAATATAATGTATAACTTGCACGGTCTTAAGTCCTTCATCATTTAGCACCCTTCCTCACTTATATGTAGCTCAGGACAGGAAGTGCTGTGGTCTTAAAAATGAAGCTGTAACACAGAATGGTACAGCTAGGAAACGGGACTCCTTGTCACCACTGATCTTAGTAAGCCTGGTCTTAGGATTAGATGTGTAAAAATATGTTTTAACAGCATTGTGTTTAAACCCTGGAGTTAAAGGAGGGAGTTAAATGCCGTTTGTTAAATGCAAAATGTTGATTGCTCCATTGCTCCTCAAAACTCAACCCATCATGAGCACAAAAATATAGACAAGGGAACAATTCTACATTAGCAGAAGAGATACTTTACACACACTTATTTCATACTGAACATCTTTTAGAGCATCATGTAGAATGTAACTTCTGTTTTTCTAGAGACAAAAGCCCTTATAGACTGTATTTGTCAAAAACAGCTCTGTCTCTTGGTTCTTTCCAGGGATAACCACTGTGCTGACCATGTCCACGATCATCACTGGGGTGAATGCCTCCATGCCTCGTGTTTCCTACATCAAAGCAGTGGACATTTACCTGTGGGTCAGTTTTGTGTTTGTCTTCCTCTCGGTGTTGGAATACGCGGCTGTGAATTACCTGACAACGGTGCAAGAGCGGAAGGAGAGGAAACTGCGGGAGAGGGTGAGAAACACCTTTGTCATCCACTTATTCCTTTTTTCCACCCCTTACAGCTGATCTGGTCTTTATATTGACTGTCTGTTAATGGGAAAACGTTGACAACCATGTGTGTAATTGGGTCTGTTTAGACTGCTCCACCTCAGGCTGAATTGGTAACACAGAAAAACAGGATTTGATCTTATGGATCTTCATAGAAACATCAGAGAAGAGAGCGTGATCTGAACTGGGAAAGAGTGCAACCTGGAAATGTGAAGGAATAGCAAGAGGGGAAAGTATAAAATCTGATACTTTGCTGCAGCTGCCACAATTCTTGTTTAGTAAGCTAAAGGAGTTATTTGGTGCAAGTCAGTTTCCTTCCTCTATAGGCAACTTTACTCTGGAAACTGGATTTAATGGATGTAACAGAGGAGGTGTTCCCCATCACCAAGCACAGTCAGTCAGTGAAATTTATGCTTGTACTTCTTAATGTGCTATGAAAGTTCTTATCCAGTAATCCCTGGAGTATTTCAAGACCAGATACATTCTGAGCATCTTGCCGTGAGCAGGACATAGGACTAGAGATGCCCTGAAGTTCTTTCCAGCCTAAGGTATCTTACAGACCTCTAGGCCTTTTGTGATTAAACAAAGCACCATTGCCTTTTGAACACTAAGTCTTGGGACCAAATATTTTTCAGTCCCCATACACCCAGGACATCACCATGTTTTACAGTTTCTTTCTTCCCAGTAGGACTCACCACATTAGTCTACTGGTGATACTGGTAACCTACTGTCTTTGACTCCTGGAGAAATTTGTATAAGCTTGTTGGAAATGCCAATGCAGACATCATCTTTCATGCAATTTAAGCATGCTATTTCCCTCTATGAACTACTCTGCTGGTTTTGTATGTCCCTCTCTTTCTCTTCCTTTTCTCCCTATGACTTTCTTGAAGAGCAGCACAAATCCCATTACAACCCAGCACCTTTCTCAGTTGGCATACCATAAAAAAATGTAATTAGATATATTTTTTTAAAAAATAGGATAAATTTACCAGACTTCTGTGATGAAATTTTACCTCTCTTCAAGGCCTTCTCAACAACATTATGACTCTGGAAAGCTGTCTGAAACAAGTCCTGAATATCTTAATTTATCTTTGCCCCTCCTAGTCCCCATGTGGAGCCCAGCAGTTTTCTGCAACACAGGGTAGAGATGCTCTGTTCAAGCACAGTGACTCCAGTGTGTCTGACTTGCTGCATGTGAGCAGTGGTCTGTGGCATTTTAGCCAGAAAATTCTTCTCCTTTATTTTAACTGATGAAATGAACTTAAGAGGATGTGTTAATTTTCTGCTAAGTGTTCTGGAATGTTTTGCCACATCCAGTTATGGTGTAGCTTGTTATTTATATCACAAATCTGCCCTTTATTGAGTCTTGTACATTGAATTCTATATTCAGCAAATGCCTTTTTACTACACCAGGGAAAATATTGTACCCAGTCTTTAATATGTGACAATATTATGTTTCAGTAGGGGAAATGGGAACAGAGGTAATAAATAGCATTATTTGAGAAAGAAGCTCTTGAAGCAGCATAAGAGACATTTCTCACAGTAAATGTAGATCTTGTCAGCCGGTGCTGCTCCCCTATGAAGGACCCCAAAAGTTCTAGTATGAACATATAAGGCTGCCCAGAAAAGAGCTCTATGTTATGTCCACATTATGGAATTGAATATGCCAGGGACAAAGACGTGCAGTATCTAAAACGAAACCTTCTCACCCTCAAGGTTCCAGGAGCTGCTGTGAAATACCTGTGGCAAAAGGTCTGTGGCCCCATGCTTATTCCCAGCCCATTCCTGGGAACTTTTCAGTGCTTCATGGGCTGAGAGAGGCCAGAGATCTTTCTGACACTTTAATGGTATTGTCAGCTGCATTCCCATGTCCAAAGAGGCTTTTTGGCAGTCTTTGAATTATTATTGTAGACATAGGCTAAAAGTCCCGCAGGGTGAAATTATGTAGTGCACCTCTACGTGTTCATGCCTTTGTGAGGATGAGTGTAATTTTAGGTTCTGCGGAGGTGGGTTCCTAGCACGTCAGGCTCTCTTGTCCATTGAGGTGGCCGTCATCATACGTGCATGAAGCCATGGGAACTGTAATTTGACCTGGGGCTGACAATAAATCTGAAGAATTGCTTTCTCTGCTGAGTCCTGCAGCAATTAGCTTATTATTGCAGCTGCTGTCCCTCACACCCAGCCACCATCTCCTGGACCTGTCAGTTCATGATAAAGAGCCTCATGAGTAATTCTTCCCTGTGTTTTCTTTGTTGTTTGCTATCATTCTGGTTTTGGCTGGCATAGAGCTAGTTTCTTTTCAGTAGCTGGTACAGTGCTGTGTTTTGAATTCATCGGGAGAGTAATATTGTAACACACTGATGTTTTTGCTAAATTGTGTTTATCCTGAGTCAAGTTTGTTTTTGTGTCTCATGCTCTATCAGTGAGGAGGTAAACAAAAAACAGTTGATTTTGGTGACATTTACCTGTGGACAAGTGAGCCAAATGAGCCAAATGGATATTCCACACCATAGAATACATTTCAGTTATTAAACTTCTCTTATCTCTATCTACAAGTTTTACATTTGATTCTTCTCCACTACCCTCCGGAGTTCAGTGGGAAAGGTAGATAGAGTGACTGCATAATGCTTATTTATCAGCTGGGGTTAAATCACAGCAGTCCTTTTTTGGGGAGCTGCACTCTGGTTTTGTTTTGGTTTGGTTTGGTTTTGTTAGTTTTGGGGTGTGGGTTTTTCAAAGTGTGCCTGCTTAGAATAAAATATCTCTTAAAACCCAATTGATTCAGTTGTACTAATGGAGTGCTCAAAAAAAAAGTAAAGTAAGCAGGCTACTAACTTCTCATGCTTTTCTGCACATAACTTGCCAATACCAAATCTTTTGGTTACGCCAAGAACACAGAAACAATCCTTAAGTTGATTTTAATGTTTTCAATAATGCAATCAGCAATGTGATCTGTCATTTAAATAATCTGAAGGAAAAGCCTTGACTGCAGGGTTTTCCAATGGCATCCTGAATATTACATATTGATGTTATACACATTTTTACATAGATATGCATTCAGATATATACATTTGTTTTAGCTGAACATATCCTTGAAAACAAGTTATTGGAAAACCCACACATCAAAGCTGGTGGAATATTATTGGGTAAGGAAATTGGTCTGTGGGAAATCAGAGACAGGAGCTTCTAGCAGAAAGGAAGTTTTGGAGTCCATTTTCACTGCATTCTAATACATAATCCATATTGCTGGGACAGGAACACTGAAGGTTTTGAATGGTCGAAGACTGCATTTCCTATTCAAAATTCTATCTGTATGCATTGGATTTTTAGACTTGTGGGATGCATGCTGGTGCTGCTGAAGTCAGTACAAGTTTTGCTATTAGCTCCAACAAAGCTGGAATTTTACATTATGCTTTTAGCTGGTCCTCTGCTTGGTTTAAAATCAGATTTATGAAGAAAACATGTATCTGTAAAACCAGAACTTGGCCCTTTTCTTCCTGTAACATGTACTGCATAAGCCATTTCCACAGATTAAACTGCATCTTGTCCATGAATATTTATCATCACAAAGAATGAATAATAAGGAATCTCAAGACAGTGAGGCTGAGCAACAGCTAGCTAAGAAAACCTTTTGTTTAGACTATATGTCTGCTAAAGCATTTTTCTAATCTTTTCTGAAGCTGCTTGTCCGAGCAGTGGAGATAAACCCTCTTTCTTATTTTTGAAAACAAGCCCAAAAAATGTGACTTTTGTTCAAAGAGAAACTTAAATATCTCAAAATCAATCAAAATTTTGAACTCAACTGTTTACAAGCTGTCGATAATAGAAAGGCATAATTTCCATTGCTTACATGTTTTTCCAATATTCAGCTTATTTCTTGTTTATGTCTCTAGTTTTCATGTTCATGTGGAATACCTCACTCAAAAACTATGATGCTGGATGGAAACTACAGTGAATCTGATGCCAACAGCCTGGCAGGATATACAAGAAACCAGATGGTACCAGAAGAAGAAAAACCAGAAAAGATGGTTGTACATTTAGCTATGAGCAATGAATCTAATTCATCAAGGAAGAGAGGCCTGAAGGGCCACGTGGGCTTGCGCATCATCCAGAACACTCATGCAATTGATAAATATTCAAGATTAATATTCCCAGGCACCTATATATTTTTTAACTTGATATATTGGTCTGTCTTTAGCTAAGAATGCTGGCACAGCAGTGACTGAATCAGATGTCTACAAAACACTCTTTTGTTGGTACTTCTTTTGTCTTAATCTGAACACAAAGCTAGAAACCTGATTATTTTATTGCTTCTTTGAAGGATAAATGGGAGGACACATCCTCCAGGAGGCAATTCCATGTGCAGGCCTCATGGAGGAACTTGCTGTACTGGTTGGTTTCCAGCCCAACTTCTTGCTTCCATTTGCTTTATGACACATGCCATTTCTCATACTTGAAAATACGTGTCCACCATACACCCAAAAGGTGCTGGATGCTCATTTGGGGCTGGCCACACTGGTGGTGCCTGCTGTGCAATGGACAACCAAAGGCAGTGCTCATGTGAGCTGTAAGGAATTAAATCAATGCAGCTTGTGTGGGGAGGTCTGGACAGTGCTTTTCTTGTAAGGAAACTGAATGAGCACTTCCCTTTACTTTTGAGAAAATTGTTTTTTCTTCGGCATATAAACATAACCTTTTTCCATTGTTTTGTGGCGAACACCTCCTTTAAGGGTACAGATTCTGCTTTCTGTCTGGATAGGACCTTCATCAGTTCCATTAGGACAGCTGGCTGGCCAGGATCAGCTGGGCTGGTTACAGAGCACAGGTGGTATGTTTGAGTTAGCGGGGTCTTTTTCTAGATTACAAAGTGCAGCCCACAGACAAACTGTGTATCCCAATGTGCCTCTCCCAATCAACACAATGCCCTTCTGTTCAGGCATTTGGGATCAAAAGGGATACATGTCTGCCAGCACCTCTCTGCAGAAACAGAGGCATGTCAGAGATTAAATGGCCAAGAATAATACTGTGGGTCCAAGGTCAATGTAAGTCCTTTGAAGCTGCTGCACAGCATTGTAACAAGCTTATGTGCTTGGCAGTTTTTCCTATCCCATGATATTTCCTTTTCCTTTGATAACACCACTGACAGAAAAACCCAAATGTAGAAACATGATAGCAACAAGACAGCGATGCTCAGGTTTGTGTGCTCCTTATTTTAAGAAAACACCATGACTTTTTGGCTGTCGTGGAGATTATCAACATCAAAACACTTGTTTACCAAGCTGAAGCTGAGCAGTGGGGGCAGAGCTTGAAGTATAAACAGCCAGGACTGAGGTTAGAATAAAGAAAAAGTAAACAAAAATACTGATGTAACTGTAATTATTTGTCAGAACATGAAATTTTCTGCTTACCATAGCAGGAATTCTTACATCCTAAATCTCAGAGGATGCAGAAAGGAGCAGAAAAATGGCAACTCTTGGCTGTCAGCAATACCCAGGTTTTCCCTTGGGCCTCAAATATTACTGCCTAGGTCAAGCTGATGATGGCACCGATTTAGTGGAAACAAAATTGATGGGAGAAGCTAAAATTAACAACTATGTTCCCCTTTAATCAGCCATGTTAATTACTGACATGAATGGAGCTCTGTCTGGTCATAAAAGTAGGAAACCACAGCTCTGACATTACTGACAAGAAGGGGAAGGACAGTGAGGGGCAGGATTTCCCAGCCTGCCACTTGTCTCCTAAGCCACCAGGTCAGTGCATTAACCCTCATTGCTCATGGACCTGAAACCTGGATACTTCTCACATTGACATGTGGAGATCACTACAAGAAAGACACAAAAAATATTGAAGAAATAGACCACTCATCTTTTGAGAGGTTAAAGCCTGGGCATAACAGTGCATTCTTCAGTTATTAGCAGTTTTGAGTGTAAAAAAGGAGCCAGTGTCCCACCTAGCAGCAGGACAGTTGCAGCAAAGGGACCTTTGCTGGGGAAAGGCAGAAGAACTACACCATGAAGCCACCAGAGAGTTCAGGGAGTGAGAAACTCGGTTCCTGTGCCCCCCTGTTTTGTCAGTCTTTCAGCATTACCCACGGCACATGCCATTTAACCTTGCAGTGCCTCAGCTCCTCCATCAAGAAAGTGAGGAGCACTAGGATTTGCCTACCTCATTAGGTGCCTGAGGGGCTCAACAGGCTTAGATAGCACGTGTGTGGGGCAAGCCTATGATTTCTGAGCAGGTCACCCAGTGGGAATTCAATTTTGTATTAGTTACCACTGAGTTCTTCAAATGCATCCTCTGAACCAGTCCAGTTGGAAGAAAGCAGGTATCTCTCCTGCCTTATCATGCTTTTTCAACTCCTCTGCATTACAGTGATATTAAACCAGGGATAAATGTAGACAAACAGCCAAAAAGTGAGCGCTGTCGAGGAATAATACCTCCTGGCATACAAAACCCAGGAAGTCCTTGTGCTTTACTTTGCCATTTCTTTTTATTACACCTCCTGTTCCTTTAGAAGTTATGTGATGGAAAAGATGTTCTTTAGGTCCTATCATTTTTGTACTGGCATTCCAGGTAATTTTAATGTCTAATAGGCATCTTTTGGAGAGTATACCTTACCATTATTTTATTTGCATGTGTACATAACTGATAGAAATTGATTTCTGCTTTCATCAGCTTATAAAACCATCAAGAGGGTATTTTTCTGCAAAAGAAAAAAAAAACCCCTCCCCTATCTTAAGCATTACTTGAGCTCATTATTAATTGAAACAGTATATTAAAAGTATAGATAAAAATAAAGCCTTCTCCCTCAGTCAGCATTATAAATTATATTTTTCTGTTTATTTGGAGGAGAGTGGCTAGGCATGAAGTTAGAACAAATATTTGAAGTGTGGTATTGACAATGTATTTCACCTTTGATTTCCCCTGGATTACAAGAGACTCCATGAGCACTGTCTAACTTCCAGTTGCCAGATCCCAAAACCAATGTTTTGAGAGAGAGTGCCTGAAGCTGGACTCTGAATGGTGTTTGATGGATACAACCCAATTCTGTGAAGCACTGAGCAGATGGACAATGAACCTACCAAAGGAGATGATTTTCAGAAGTGCACAGGAGATCTGGGAAAATTCAGGTCGCTGATGAAAATGCCTTCTCTGGACAACCTGGTCCAACTGCAAAGAGGAAAAATGTCAGCTCTGCTCATTCAAGTTCTGGCTTATTGTAATTTTACTTCTAACCAAATCATGTCTTTGAGAAAAAGTAACTATATACATATATGTGCACATATGTATAATGTGTATGCAAGCATAATGTATAACAAAGGAAGACACTGGGATGTGTACCTATGTTAAAGTGTCCATATGTGAAATTTTAATATATTGTATATAAATGACCATTTATTATGCCCTGAAAACTTACTACGTTGGACGGGAAAAAAAGGCTCTTACTGTCAGTCAAGGACCAAGAAATGAGGCATTGGCAAAAATATGGGTTCTCTTACAGTTTTTTTTTCTGAAAAAGGTTTGTGCAGTGGGTACAATCCACTGTGCTGATTACTGTAATCAAACCTGGTAATAAAATAGCAGATGGAAAGGGTGGAAAAGAGTCAATTTCATGGTGTGAACTTTAAAATGTGATTTTAATTCTGTTTGGAAATCTGTTACCTATAAGCTGATACCCAGGGGCAAAGGATTTGAATAAACACCTCATTTGTAATTGATTTCAAGTAAAAAAAAAACCCAACATTTCAAAAGGTGGAAGAAATGTAGTGGAAGCATGGGAGCACTTTGAAGTATGCAAAGCTCTTTAGGAAAAGGGAGCTGTTAATTACAGTTACAAGCTATGGAGACCTTTTGTGAAAACTGCAACCCACAACTGAAGAAAGTTTAGTAATTGCTTTACAGTTAATGGCACATTTTCAA